CGAAAGTGCAATGGAAGCGAGAGTGTTGTGTGCACGCCTAGAGTATATATCGCCACCGATATTTTCTCTAATCCAAACGTCACCGGGGCCAGCTTACCTTCGCAAATTAATATGCAAATTAATGTACGCATCTCGCACGCAGCGTATATACAGCCGCAGCTGTCTTGGTGTGTACGTAAGTATATAATACCCGGTATATTGCGCGGCTCTTCAAGAGCATTTAGGCGGGGACGCTTTCGGGGGCACAATGGTTCACATCGCGCGGAAAGATGCGCAATGATAAATATCCAAAGCCACGAGAGAGGCCACTCGGCGCCTCTTATCCGTCCACTCCGCCTCGCGCGCCCTGTAGTCCCTTTTGTTTGGCCCTCGTGCCGCCGTGAAAGCCGACGATTACGGCGACGATCCCCCTCTGATCTTTGCGTCGCGTTAATAATTCCATTATTAACACGCGGATACAAATGCAAACACGTGTCCTCTGTTATTTTCAAATTCCCTTCCTTTTTGCCGACGTTCCAAACAATATCTCGCGCCGAAATCGACTATTGGCATTGCAATGATTCGCACAGCGTTTAAATTCTTTTTGCGGTCATTGTTAATAATCAGCAAGATATATCGATTTAAACATCAATAATTTTTAATTGCCAATCCTGAATGTTTAATCTGTAAATATTTTCTTTGAATCTTTTATACGTTGACTGCTTTATCGCTTTAGATAATCTCGCATTAGTTTAAAGGTATATGTTTCAAATGAAATATACAAAGTTCTTTATATATAGAGATACATCTCAACTTTGCCAAATTATGAACATATATGTATCGTGTAAACTTTTCAACAGAGACTGCTTTATAAACAACCTATAGTTGACAGCAGTCGAGAATAACAATAGACCATCATTTCATCTGCAATTCGCAAAATAATTATCCGTGTTAATATTTTTGATAATAATAATACAAAGGGCACTCAAATACATTTGCATAGCATAGATGTGGACTATCTTTGACTCGAATTTAATCGCTATTAATACATATTGTTCTGTCATTGCTATCATGCGTTTTTATTCTCAATTAATTAAATCATGCACAGGAATGGTTCTCCGATCGAGTATTCTCTGTAATAATTACAAAAGCTATACGCATTTATACGTACACAAATACATATTATTCACACTCTGATAATCACTGCAACAAATATCTGCAGTAATCGATAACAATAAATAAAATGAAAAGTGCAAAGCGTCGCAGCGGACATAAACGCGTAAACACAATCACTTTTAATTACCGTAATTCCTGAATTCTTCCAAATGTTTTTCATATCATCAAATTATAGTTACGTTGTTCCCGAGTACAAAGTTAATTTATCCTCGAACATATACATATATATTATATGTATAACGATTTTTCTATAAAACTAAAATTTTCGAAATATGACATGTTTTTCAGCTGCGACTTGACAGATACATAAAAAGTTTGTAACAAATATTGTTGTCGTTTTTCTAAGTGTCACATGATCTCTCGTGCAAGAGAAAAAACGAAATCGCCGAGAATTAAACCGCAGAACATTTTTTACTCAAGTACTTGTCTTTTACGGTGAAATGTCGCGTTTTGTTCGCCGACCATCGATCTTCGCCCTTACTTTTTGCCATCTTTCGACCACAATCATCCCCTCCGACATGTTCGTTTTCTCGCTTTGGCATGACTTTTCATCCCCGGCTGCGAAAGACTTCTGTTTCTTTTTCCTCGACCGGGAAAAGTTGTAATGATTTAAAAGTTGTAATGATTTGAAAGTTGTAATGATTTCAATTTAGAGTCGCACTTCGCAGTCTGTCGACGTGGCGTTTTTCGAAGCTTTATCTTTCCTCCGGCTTTTTTGCGGCACATAAATGTCACGTGCATAAAGCTCTCACTAAACTTACTATCGTCTTCGGAGGAGGGTAAGTAAAACGCGCTTGGGGTGATTACAAGAGGAAAGAAAGGAAACTGCCGCAAGAGAGCTGCGTATAGCTTTAAACTCTTAACGTAATAAGATCACGTTGCGTTAAATCTTTGCAAGCGTCGAACGAGATTCCGCTTTCCGTAAAACTTTTTAACTTCGCCAGAATTAATGTCCTCTGACTTGATACTCCCGTGTAACATACATAAATACATCCAGATATATGATATAAACATGCAAGCTGTTTAAGAACGACGACTCGAGAAGTTTCGCGAAGGCTCTGGCACAAATGATATTACGAGATGATTAAATAAGGAAAGATTTACAGAGATGATAAGATTTGCTTATAAAAAATCAAGCAGTTGCAATAATAAATAGACGTCTATTTCGTTAAATATGTAACCGTTTCACAATTTGTAATTATAAGTAAAAAAAACGTTTGCATATCTTCTTAAAAACAATTTCACACGAAAGAAATTACTGTACAGTGAAATATCTTATTTATATATATTGGCATATATAATAAAAAAAATTATTAAAGTATAGACAAACTATTAAACTATTAAACAAAATTTTAAACTATTAAAAATGCATCTCGCGAAATGCTTCAAATCGTTTAAGAGATCGCGTTCGATTAAACTCGGAGATATCGCGTGGAAGCGTGTACCATTTTAAGAGACGACTTTGCATAAAACGCCACGAGCATGCCAATCAAGCGTCTGCTTTCCTCGCTTTTTCTTCGCCGCCTGGCTTCCGAGAATGCTGCGTAACATTCCGTGTTTTCGCGGTTTCCGGCCCGTCTCATCTCCAATCAAGCGCCAGACGTACAGATATATATTCGATCTCAGGTCGAGGTACGTGGCGCGCATCGGAAAGATTCATTCGTACATGTTCGTACGATATCTATATAGAGAGAGAAAGAGAGAGAGAGAGAGACGCGAAGGCTTTATATCGATACGAGTCGTCCGCCTTCTGAAGATGTATCGCGGATTTACGCGACCGCTAACGTGGATACATCGCGGCTCGTAAAACCGTATTATTCTCTATTACGCGCGAGATCGTATATACCTACCTATGTATCTATGTATGTACGTGTATGTGTGGTACCTGTTCGTGTACAAATCGCCGCTGTAATAATTTAGGGAGCCAGGATGCGGCGGCACGGAAAACGACTCGACGCGAACACGGAAAGCCGGTTTTCGAAATCGTCACACGATTCAACGACGGAAGCGCTGTTTTGATGTCGCCGTGTCGATTTAATTGAAAATTTTAACTTTTGCCCCGCCGAACCGGCGATCGCGATCCATATCGTTTCGTATTTGTGTTTTCGGCCAAGTGAAATATCGAGTTCGTTATCGCGCGCGCACTCAAATTTATCATGCGAGGAAACGCGTTACCGCCAGATTCCGGCTGATCAAGCAAACGAAGGACCGCACGATAAATCATCCTTTTGTGACTTTATGATTGTGACGTCTCGCAGTGAACTATGTATTCCTATAAATTGTAATAGCGAAAGCTACGTATTAGTGATGTATCGAATTTTATAGCTTGGTGAAAAACTTTATACGTTATATATAGTAAATTTAAATCTATGTTATATATCAGCAGGGCGAATATAATATTATTCAAATAGATTCGAGTAAATAAATCTTACGGTAGAGTAAAATAGAAATTTGGAACACCGTGTAACTGGAGTGAACAACTTGCGTTAATTCACATGTTATAATGCTATTATATTTCTTAAACTATTTGGAACATTAGAGGATGAGTCTAGGAAACATTCCTAAATAATATTATATTGTACATTATCATATTAATTTAATAATTTCGTGTTATAAAAGCTTCAATTTAAATCTAAACAAAATTTGTCATAATAGAAAATGTACTCTGTGACAGACGTAATACAATGTATAATTTTTTCCAATGATAAAATTAATAGTTATTAAAAAATCATGTAAAAAGATTAATCTTTTTCGCTTTTTTCTTCAACTGAAAGATTCAGTACAGAATTAGAGTAAATCTATGATTTTGAATGTTGAACTCTAAATGTGTTTCTAAATATTTCGTATTTAAAGTCAACCATGAAAAATTGCAAACTTGTCTTATTTTTGCATTTGAACCCTTCAAAATTGCAAAAAAGTATTTTTTAAATATTTTTCTGACCGATTAAAATTAAAAATAAATCGTTAAATAAAAATAAACGACGATAACAATAGACAATATGATGTACGAGAATTATCTGCACTGAAACTAGTTGGAGAACTTAGTTAGTTGACGAACACTATCATGGAGTTCCGCGAAAGTTTGAAGCGGCCAGGTTTCCTTTCCTCTTTAGATTCCACGGACAAACGAACGAATCGTCGCGCATCCTGTAGCGTCCACTTCCGGCCAGGACAAACTTATCTGAAAGTTTACGCGCTCGTACGCGGTGAACGAGGAAAAGTCGATTGCCACGGACTTAGAAAAGCAGAACGGAACCAATGAAATGCTCCGAGTTACGATACGGTACACACAAGTTGCACCTCCTCTCGGGTCCGGATGTTGTGTTTTTCAATTTTCGCGATCGCATCTAGCGAATGTTACCGTTGTCGTGCTTGTATCCTAAACTTCCGATCGTTCCGGGAGAACAATTCTGTTTTGTACTTACGCTCGACAATCCACTTTCGATCAGATTCAAAAACTCGTGTCTTTTTCTATAACTCGCTTACATATAGTAGAAATTTGCTTATGTGTAAGGCGAAAAAAAATATTCTAGAAAATAAAACTTATATATGTGGGGGAAAAAACATATTTCATTGCGCACGTAAAACAATTCTCATTTTTGTCAATTTTATAAATTTTTAACTAACCACTTTTTTTATAATATCTACTCTATATAACTTTGATATAAATAGTCAAAGTTTTTCGCTTCGATAAGAAATAAATAAAATATTTTCCGCAGCAATTGCATTGATAAGCAATTTAATAGTATAACTGCTAGAAGAACGCGTGACGAAGAAGAATGATCTCCCCCTTTCATTCAACTTTAAATATAGCCAACTGCTTCAAACAAGGAATAATTGCGTACCTTTTGATCCTTCTGCCAAATGCACTGCCCTCTCTTTCCAAGGACTCGACACACCAGCTTCGCGTCTTGGCCAGGATTGACCTCGGTGTACTGCGGCGTTTCATCAAATTGCTGGATCCCATGACAAACTGCAAGCAATTACAACAGGAACAAATAAAATTTCATATGTTGTGGTATCGCGTGCGCAAACATTTATTAAATAATGCATATGACTATGACGATAGTCGTGCAAGCGACGCTTCGTTGCTTTCCATCTCGCGGCACCTTTGGCTGCTCAAACGTTTATTCTGTATTTTTTGCAGAGAGAGAGAGAGAGAGAGAAAGGGAGAGAGAGAAAGAGAGCGGCGGGGGGAGAAGAAAAAAAGGGAAAAGGAGGAGTCTCCTTTTTAGTCAACGCTAAAGTACAGACAGATGGTAAAGGCAGGATATAAGTACGGGGTTTAGCTGAGCATTAAGGCAGCCTGCAACCTCGTTAAAGTTGTTATTTAATTCGCAACTTCGCAAACTCATTTAACTCGGTCCGTGCTAAGCTACGATCTTCAGTTTTCACCTTTTAAGTTTGCCGATAAATTGTATTTAGCGCTAATCGAATGACGGCAGACGCGGCGGTACTGACTTCGATGCGACGATGCACGCGCAGACTTGTATATATACTCGCAGGCATTAATCGCGTCTCGTTAGCCGACGTTAATTATTTCTTCGCCGCTCTTAGTATTCTCCGGATGAACTAAATTGAGCAAGTTTAATATCTAAATGCGTTTAAAATATGTTTTATACTATAAAGCTCAGGAATAATCATAAAATTAATACAAATAAATTAAAGTTTATCGATCCTCTTATCAAAAAATTTTATCATTTACAATTCTCTAAAAATATGCTAAGTTTACGAAATAAGAACACTTAAACCTCTTAGTTTTTATATTTAAGTAAGAATTCAATCACATTTATTATATCTAACGAATTTATCTCTCTCTCTCTCTCTCTCTCTATTTTCAACAATTTATTACATATATTAAATATATTTATATATGTATAATTTCTGCTTAATAATTATTAGTTTTATTAAGTTTAATCATTTCAAAAGAAAGAATATTAAAAAAAAAATGTTTAAAGAATTCATACTTTTTTATCACAAAAAGTAGCTTATATTATTATATTATTTATATTATATTAAAGTAGCTTATTAACTTAGAATGCAAAAAATGTATATAATTCCCAATATATAAAATTACGCTGGTAAAAATAAAATTTGACCGCTGAAAAGAAACGTAACACAAACAATTAGTCAGAAATAAACATATCAATTTTACACTAGTTGGGCAAAATGCAATACGGATGCGGATGTATTGTCGCTTTGCCAGGAGTATGTGAAAATTTCAGGATCGCAGCGTACGCTTTTTGTCGGATTGCAGCGTTAAAAATTCAATTTTTCACCGACATAGAGATGATTAATAAAACGCGCTGCCGCGTCGTATGCGGCTCGCGGAAATAACTTTGCAAAATTAACAACGTGCGCATGCAGCTCGTGCGATTCGACGAGCACCGCAACAGTATTTACAAATGCGAAAGAAAAACAGCATTTCCTGTTTGATAATGCCATTACATTTTGTGATATTTTCGTCTCTTGCGCAATAAATTCAGTAAAATTTGAAATACAAAATGTGAAACATTGGAATATATATGTTCGCTTTTATTTATCAAAAATTTATTTACCGCGTCGATATCGAATTAAATTTTGATATCATAGCCGGATTGTACGTTATAAAGATGGATCGCTAAAAACGCTAAAAAAAGATCTTTTTCCCATCAACGCTATAAAACTGGAAAACATGAATAAATCAAAGATTAAACTTATAAATAATTATTAAAATTCAATATTGGCAATTAACTACGTGAGAGATTCATATTATAAACGTAATATAATTTTATCTCAACGAGATACAAGTTCTTAATCGTATAAAGTTCGATTGTGAGCATACACGCGGCAATGCTATCAGTCGTTATTCGCGTAACGTAGCGGCAGGATTGTAAAAGCGACGCAATCCCGAGAAAATGCCGGCGAGAATAAGGCAAAACTCAAGGATCCCCTGCAACAGGTTCCGTAAAGTAAATTCGAGGCTTGACGCGGGACACACGCTCCGGCTGTTAATTGTGTTTGTACGTCGAGGCGACGAGCTGTACTTTCGCGAGCGCTGTGTAAATATACTTGGACCGAAATTGCAACGCTTTCTATCTGCAATAATAATTACGACTGTAGTCTGTAGAGTAAAGTCAAATAGATACGAACAAATTACCGCGGCGTTGGAAAGAGGCGACGGCAGAAGCGAATTGAAGTCGTCCTGGCGCGTCGTAAAGATATATTCGGAAGATATTATTTTTCCTGCTGTGGTACGAAACAGTATTACAACACTCGCAAATTTTCATCATGTCAAAGAAAGCGAAAAATACAAAAATCATTAATAATGACTGTATATATATATATATATATCTATTTTTGATATTTTATTTTAGTATTTTGAATATATATAATATACACAATTTAATTGATTTAATAAATATATATTACTTGCAAAAAAAGAAACGATTATGTAAAAAGGTACTATATAAGGGGTGCACTCATTTTTGCGGGTGTAAAAAGAACGATAAAGCTACGCAGAGAAAGATGTATCATAAATTCTTGTAACATGTCAGGTATAATGTACTACAACTCGGAACGCGGGTAACTAACTTTGCTCGTGTTGCAGAATACACCTCATTTTTGCGGAAATGGAGCAACACCCGCGCCCACGTGATCTAATAAATTCATTTTTCAAAAATTAAAGTAGGAACAGACGTAGGTAATACGATGTTTAAAAATTGTATGGTACGAAATTTTTTCTCTCTCTCTCTCTCTCTCTCTCTACGTATACATAGGAAAAAAATGTATACGTTTTATTTAAACAAAAATATACTTCTAATAATATTATTTTATCCCAACATTTTGCTAAAATATTACTTTAATCGCATTTATTACATAATCATTACAATAATTACATTAAGTTATAAGTAACAGACACATATGAATACGAATTGTTTTTTATTTGCTTTCCAACCTTTTTGAAAAAAATTTGCACGGAACGATGTCAGTTACCTGAGGTGAAAAATAAAAAGAGACACAAAGACAGTTCTAAAGTTGATATGTCGTTGCAAAATACACTTTACTTCTCATCCCCATCGATTTGACAGAGATTCTCTAATTCGGCTGGACTTTCAAAGCGGCTTGGCACGGTCGCAAATCCGCGGCGGTTGTCTCTCCCGCGCCTCTCGACCGGTTAATCTCGTTTGCAAGTCCGTGTAGAGCAACGTGAACGTTTGCGCGACCTCGATCGCCGACCCTCAAACACTCTGTCGAGGGGATGGAAAAAAGTTTCGGTAACGCCACAAAATTTGCTTTGCCTGTACGACCGATATTCGAGAACGTGAAAATAAGAGAGAAAAACAGCCCCGTTGCGCTCGCCAGACAGACCGACGCCGAAGAATCTAAAAACACTGGCTGTTCTCTTTCCTATCCTTCCTGTGTTTCGCGCGTTATTTACTTCGACACGATCTGTGTTTCGCTATAAATAAACAAGGCTTAATAGACGAATGAATCTTCGTAAATAACTCTTGCGGATATATTTTCGACGGCACTTAATTAAAATCATGTATTAAATAGGCGCACAGGTCTGAATTAAAACCATATTAATTAAACACCGATCGATTATTCGTGTATTTCTAGCGTATTTTCTTATATGGCACGTTGGATAGAGAAAATTACGATACCAACGCAGACAGTTCGAGTGTGGGAATTCGATATTCTCGTTCTCATCATTATCGGACATCAGAATTAACGAAAGAAACCGGACATTGTATCAATGAAAGTTCGTTGGTATTCGATTACGCTCTTCATCGAAGTTACGCCGACATGATTAATTAAGCGACTTAAATTATATCGCTTGCAGCGAACACGCGTGTATTCGTGTGTGCACGTGTCCAATCATTCTCGATAAATTATTTTTTTTTAATGTAAATTTAGTGCGTTGGTTAACCGGCCAATTATATGGCCGTGACACGGTACACGGAAACCTCGTGAAAAATGCAAGCATGAAAAACGCGAACGGTCGATCGCTGTTATTGCGAAAATGATCGAAATGTTGATACAATCAAAAGAAACTTTCGAAAAGTGCTTTTGCTACCGTTCGTTCATTATTGATGTTCAATCAAGGCGAAGTTTATTGCAACGTTACATGAAACCGCCGCATTTAAATGCCAATATGTGAAGAACGAAACGAGCTGTCGGATAATGCTCGCGTACGAACAACGACATAAATAATACGTAGGAAAATTTCGCCAAAATCGTATTCACGAAAAGCGATATCGCGCTTCTCGATAGCACACATCGACCAAAAAAATTAAAAACACCTTTTTATCTCGACATGTTTCTTCCTCGAATAAGTATCGATTTCGCCTATTCGTCGAGCGGCTCTTTCGCGAGGAGACACTGAGAAAAAACTTACAAATATATTCTTTAAAAGTTCTCGACGGACTGCGAAATACTCGAGAAATTGGAGACGATAAGTTATAGACAGTGCGCAAACCTGAACCAATATTCTGCGACATATAGTTATACATTTTTTCGCGGCATAAAAAAGCACGGCCACAAACGGTGACGTTGATGTTGGAAATGTCGAGCATAAGACAAGTTCGGAGAGCTACGCGGTTGCGATTGCCACGAAACCTTGGCGTTTCGCAACGTGAAAAAACAGACAGAACCGCGGGATGAAAGCGCGAAATATCGGAGACACACTAGTGTACAGGATGAGTCGAGTCGCCAATATATAACGCGCTCCTCTGCGATGAAAAACTATCACAATATATACAACTGCGTGCAATACATATATATATGTATCGATTTGTCTTTTTTTTAATTTCTCATAACAATTGCATCGTCATATAAAAAAAAATGCAGCAAAATATTTATAATTCGTAAAACTATAGTCTTTACAAAAAAAGAAAGAAAAATATAAAACCAAACATACATTTATATTTTTTTGATGCAACTTTTCCTAATATATAATGTAGATATTCTTTTTCTAAACATTGCACGAAT